CAATGCTTGAGGAGTTTGGGTTGCAGATGAACATCATTCCACAAGTTAGATAACGAGCGAACTTACAAATTAATTAAAGTGTAAATCAATACGAATAACATCTTACATAAGTATAAATAGTATTTGTCAAATTATAAAGTAATAGTAAGCATTTGTTATGGAATTAAAAGAAAATTATAAAAATACATGTGATATATAAGCAATATGTGATGAGGCTCAACGAGTTATTCGAGACCTGGATCAGGCTTGAGCTCGAATTAAACTTTTCACGAGCTTTAGCTCAGCTACCTGGTGGAACGAAAAAATTTGTTTTCCCCTCAGCTATAGTTGGCCAACGGGCGGCCTGGCTTGGGCCCGGGCCAAGCATGGCCCGCAGGGGGACGGGCCAGTACGGCACGTCGTGCCTCCCGTGCCATGCCCCTCCATGTATCGTGCCTGGCCATCCGCCCGAGCACATCCCTACGGGTCGAAATCCAGGCGTGCCGGCCTGGTAAGCACGGCCAAATCCGCGGGCCGAGTGCCATTAAAACATCTCAAACCGCTTCTCTCATCCAACACTTCTCCATTTTAACAATCACATTTCACATTTCAGTATTTCACATTCACAAAATCACAAGTAATAAACCGATCACAGTCACAGATTCTCAATTCTAAGTTTCTAACAAAAGCCACCAAAGAAGACAAGAGAATTTAAATAACTGAGCTGTTTGTGCAATGCTGCTTCATTAAAAATCTTTCTAGGTAAAACTCACCCTTATGAGAAACCCTAGAAAGGGAAAAAGAGTGCAGCACAGCTCTTAATAAGTCTTCTATCATTGTTTAAAGGTCCCAAGTCACACAATCACAGTCACAGATGACAGATACAAAATAGAAATAACAGATTAATTACCAGCAGCCCTAAATGTACCAGCCCCAGCCCCAGATGAACCACCCCTAGCCCTAGATGAACCAGCAGTACTAGCAGCCCCATGTGCATCTTCATCGAGGTATAGATTCTTGAAGGAGTCCTCCAGCTCTTGGTTGTCAATAGCATGTTGTAATCTGCATTCTCCCAACTCCCAATCCTTTATGCATGCCAGCATCTCCTCCACAGTTTTAGACAACAAGCGGCGGCGTCGCTCTTCAATTATCCTTCATGTCAAGCTAAAACATGATTTCGAAGAGACAGTAGAAACAGAAATAAACATAATATTTCTAGTTATTATAGATAGGATTTGATAGGTTAGTTTGTGGTCACGCCACCAGAGAAGTAAATCAAAATCATCCTCATATGTAGTGACATTGTCACTGTCCAGATAAACTAAGAGCTCATTAGCAGTAGAAATAGATAAAAATAAAGTGGGGGCATAGATAGGGGAAGGACCAACAACAGATCCAGGCCCTTTAAAGATTCTTTTCCATGCCTGTTTTCTCTTACCTGTATGGCTTGTAAGTTGTGCAACCCTTTGACTCCTAGCTGTACCAAACTTTCTCTCATATTTGTTAAATAATTTGTAAATTTCAGTTTTCATATCAGCATAATATGAAATATAATCATAACTAGTGCTCTCTTTAAGTAATTACAGAACTCTAAATAAATCTCTCATCTTAGCTCTATGATTAAGAATGAATGCAAATGAATATAACAGAGATATATGCTGCCAGTATTTAAGGAATTTAAGCTTCATAGGATATACAACAGCAATTAGATTTTGATCTTTTTCACTTGCATGTAAATGAGAAGCAATTTCTAGCAGATGGTGCAGGATAAGTGGACTAGTTGGACAGTAAACACCAGAAAGAACAACAGTGGAGTCATAAAATAGTTTTAGAAACTCCAATATCTTTTCAGCTATATACCAATGCCTTGCAGACAACAATTCAGAGCTATAATTGGAATTAATGAACACAGAAAAATATGCTTATATGGAACCAAGTGTTTAAGCATAAGATATGTAGCATTCCATCTAACATCCATATCTAAGCCAAACTTTTTATGTCTAACACCCTGAGCAGTAAAATAGTTCTTAAACATAGTAATTCTTTGATTAGAGGAATTTAAGAAGTTAATAGCAGTTATAAAATCTTCTGTGTAAGATTTGAACCTCTTTAAACCAGATTTTACAATCAGATTAATGATTGACAAGCACAACGTTGATGCACAAGACTGTACTTACGCTTAGAAGGATCAACAGGCTCAGGTGTAGGATCAGGACCCAAATAACCAGCAAACATAGGTGTCAAAGTTTTCATAGCCTTAGTATTAGAAGAAGCATTGTCTAGAGTTACAAAGAAAACCTTATCAATGAGACCAAACTCCCTAACCACACAAGCAACTCTTTCAGCAATATTTTCACCAGTATGTTTCACCTCAATTAACATAATCCCAATAACATTTTTCTGTAACTCCCAATCAGCACTAACAAAATGAGCAACAACACTAATGTAATCCTCATTATCATTACCAGACCAAATATCTGATGTTAGAGCAACAGAGGAAGCAGCAGACAACACAGAATTCTTAAGCATATTACGACGGTAAGTAAACAGTTTACTCAGATCTCTAGTGGTGATCTATCTAGATACTTTAACAAACCTAGGGTTATGAGCATGAACAATGTAATCCTCTCAGGCCTCTATCTCACCAATACCTAACGGCAAATCAAGCCTAGCAATCAAACAACACAATTCAGATCTAGCAACATCAGGTTTATAGTCCCAGTTATGCACAGAACCATCAGTATTGTAAGCAAGCCTAGACTGAACCCTGGCAGCTTGATCAGTTTTCTGCCTACAAGATTTCTGGTGCCTCTTCAAGTGCTCAGTGCCAGCATTAGATCTAACAGACAAAGTATGCTTACATATTTTACAGGTAGCTTTAGTGCAGATTTTCCTACCATTCACCCTTATAGATCTCATCAAAATCAGCCAACACAACAGATTTACGCTTACCAACACTAGGTCTAGAAGAGGTACCAGTATCAGCAACAGATAGAGTTGAGCCGTTGGAGCAGACCGGGGTCCCAGTCGCCGTCGCCCCTTCACCACCGCCGATGTCCAGACCAAACAAGGCAGCAACGTCCTCTTGGGTGTCGTTGTCGTCCTTAGGTGCCAGGCCTACCGCGATGAGATCGTCGTTGCCTTTGAGCGGCCAGACGATCTCATCATCAGCACCAGCCATGGCGCCCTCAACCGCGAAGGGCTCTCCAGCACCGTTCCTCAACGGTGCGTGGGCCCGCATTGGTCGCTCTATGCCACAACTAGAGGACGACGCATCGGCTACCGACTTGCGTAAAGACATGGAGGAGGAGGAAAACAATATATCAGAATAGATCAATCATCATTCATCAATGGAAGAAGAGAAGGGTTAGGGTTAGGGTTAGTGTTAGGGTTAAGGTTAGGGTTGTACCTGCGCAACCGGAGCCCGGTGCCGAGATAAGACGAGGGCCACCTAGAGAAGACGACACACCGGTTAGAAGGACGGCGAGCGGCGGAGTAGGAGCAGACGGGGACACGAACTCACATAATCAGCGAGATCTAGAGGGGAGATAGGGATAGGGATAGGGAGAAGGAAGAGGCGGAGATGGAGATGGAGCAGGGAGGGGATCAGGTAGGAGGAGTAGGGAGCTACTCGCCGGCAGCAGGCGGATCGTCGAGGTCACCTCACCGGAGTCGGGGAGGATGGAGCCAAGACTGCGAGGGCGAGACCGAGAGCGAGGTGAGACGAGAGCAGCGTGGCGGGATGAAATGAAATGAGCTAGGATTCAAGGTGTGAGGGAAAGCCGCCGCGACGTGCTCTTATATATGAGGGGGAGGCGGGGACGGTGGGCTATGCTGGGCCGCGCTGGGCCTTGGGGAGGGGAGGAGGAGTGAGGAGGGGGAAGGGGGAGGCCGGGCCGACCGTCGAAGCCCCAAAGCCGTGCGGCCGTGCAAATTTCCACGGATCGAAAGCGAATGCCTGTGCACGGCTTTCTCCGTCCGGGGCTGGGCCAGCCCGGACCCGCTGACCATCAGGCCGTGCCGTGTTTGATCCGGACCAAAATTACGTGCTTTGTGTCAGACCAACGTCTCTCGGCTGCATGGACATTTATACCTCCCCCCCCCCTGGATTTTTTGAAGTTTCGATAACACCAACTGGTTCTTTGAAGTTTGGGCGGAGTCTCCACCGCGTTTCCTCGGATTTGGCTCCGGAATTGGAAGCGATCGAGGGAGGATCGTTTGTCCCTTCTCGTCTCCCTGCCCGCTTCAATCCCTTCGCCCGTTCCGTAACCCCCGACGGCCCGGCGATCGCTCTGGGTCCCCGATTCGGCCAGTTTGGTTCCAATTGGGGCCGGATTGGTGCTCGGAGGGATCAAGCAGAGGACAAGGTCGGGGTTTGATCCGCGATTTCATTTGTTTCGGCGGAAGCGAAGCGGCCAGAACCCGAGGCCGTTCCTTGTGCGGCCAAGGCGCCCGAATTCGTCAAGCTAATTGGTAATTCCAGCTTTTATCTGTACAAGCAATAGGCTTCGTTTTCTCAATTTTGTTCTCATGAATACTGTGAGCTCGGCAATTCGTTACTAGTGGAGTTTAGTATGGGATTAGCAATCGATATTTTTAATACGCTTCTGCCGGACCCGCAAGAATATTTGGACAAAAAATATCATTCAAGTTTATTCAACTTGTGTGCTGGCACCGAAATTTCTATCATTCCTTTTGTTATTACTGCTCTATTGGACTTTATGCAATCGTGTCCCAAATCCTTCATTGCTACTTACGGTTAGTACTCTGAACTGAACTCTGAAGCTTGCTCCATTGTCATTAGCTTATTGCATCGGGTAATATACATGTGGTTTATGTATGATAGGAGATAGCTGTAAAATGCTTCTCTGAAGTTACTCTGAACCATTGGTATTTGCAACAGGGAAGGCGACTGAACATGACGCTGCAGGATGAATGGTAGGGAAGATAGGGGGAGGTTTAGCAGATTTATACGCCGCATGTCAGTGCAATGCCTGTGCTCTGGGGATCAGACAGACACGATGGATCGGGCAATCCAATTATCAGAGAACATAGACATAAAGGACGGCATGACTAGCCGGCGCTCATCTCCAAAACTTGTGGCTGGGCGGCATGTCAATAATGTTGGCATGGAGGAGGCTGAGTTGTCGCTACAGGGAGGTGGCTCTCTTAACTATGAGGTTGGTGCTCCATTCTATGGCATAATTATTCTCGTGAGAAAAAACTTGCGGAACTCAAATTGTCAAGACCACAAGTAAATAAGGTCACTGAAACGCGTGCTTGGGCTACACCGTATATACCTGTTCCTTATACATGTGTCATGAAATCACTTCAATATTTTTCACATAAGTTTTTCTCTTATGAAATTGTCTCAGTTGGTATATGACTATCTTCCTTGGTCTTCCATTTCCTTCCTATTTTATTCTTATGCATACATGTATAATTATCATCAGATGTTTTATGCTAGATCTTGTCATCATGTGCTCTCCAAGCATTTCACAAATAAGTGCAGTAATTAAAGTTTCAGAAAAGGCGCAATAGGTAGATAGGCAACCACAGCTGCTGCACCTTTTTGTTTGCTCATTGTAACAACATTTAGATTTTTTGTTTGACTTCTTGAGTTCATGTAATGATGAATCATGTAATGTTAGATCGATAGCCATCAAAATTTCAATGTTCCATACCTGATAATGTGTAGTGCAATGGTTTAAAAATTTCAGGAAGCAAGGGCATTGCTTGGAAGGGTAGAATACCAAAGGGGACATATTGAAGAAGCACTTCGCGTGTTTGATGGGATAAAGATATCTGCACTAACTCCCGAGATGAAAAAATCTGTCGTTAGAAAAGTTAGCCAGCAAAAGCCTCGCTCACATTCCAGCTCTCTGACAATGCCCTTCCATTCTGTTACTATACTGATGGAGACTATATATCTTAAATCTCTAGCACTTTATGATCTTGGAAAATTTGAAGGTATAGAGCCCCAGCTTCTCTTTACTTCTTTTTTTCATTTGTTCAGGACTACTTTAAACATAACTCCAACTAAATTTGGTTTTGCAGAGGCTGCACGTGAGTGCAGTGCACTATTGGACATCGTGGAATCTGCAGCACCTGAGGGTTTGCCGTCAAACTTTGGAAATGATTGCAACTTGAATGAAACAATATGCAGAGCAGTTGAGTTACTTCCTGAGCTTTGGAAACTAGGAGGCTTTCCTCTTGAAACTATATCTTCATATAGGAGGGCTCTTGTTAGTAATTGGAACCTTGATGCAAAGACCATTGCTAAACTACAGAAAGAATTTGCTGTTTTTCTACTATACAGTGGCTGTGAAGCCAGACCTCCCAAACTTCGATGTCAATTGGATGGTTTATTTGTACCCCAGAATAATCTGGAAGAAGCTATTCTTCTTTTATTGATTCTATTGGTGAAGTTCAATCTTAAGAGGATTGAAAGGGATGCAACTGTGATGCATCACTTAACTTTTGCACTGTCCGTGTCAGGGCAGTTGAAACCTCTTGCTCGTCAGTTTGAAGCACTATTACCTGGTCTTCTAGACAACAGAGAGTGGCTGTACAATGTTGCCTTGTGCTACCTAGCATCAGGTGACGATTTAACTGCACTGAATCTTCTTAGAAGGGTATTGAAGTCTGGAGAAGATTCAAACAGTCTCAAAGAACTTCTCCTGGCTTCAAAAGTTTGTGGCGAAGACTATGCTCATGCTGGAGAAGGAGTTTTATATGCTCGTAGAGCCCTTGCCAATCAGCATGGAGGTTGTGATCAAATGGAGGTTGTTTCAGGCCGTTTGCTTGGCATTTCCCTATCCAATCTAGCTAGATATGCTACAATTGACATAGAGAGAGCTGCTCAGCAGCATGAAGCATTGGAGGTGCTTGCTAATGCTGGAAAAAAGATGCACAGCAGAGATTTCGGCACAATATACAGTCTCAGCCTTGAAAATGCTGTGCAGAGAAAGTTAGATACAGCAGCTCGTTATGCAAAGAAGCTGTTGAAATTAGAGGTTGGGTCAGAATTGAAGACTTGGCTGCTTATAGCTCGAATAATGAGTGCCCAAAAACGATATGAAGACGCTGAGTGCATTGTAGATGCCGCATTAGATCAGGCTGGGAAGTGGTCTCAAGGAGACCTATTGCAAACCAAAGCCAAAATTCAGATTGCACATGGGCAGTTTAGGAAAGCAATTGAGACGTATACACAGCTTCTTGCTCTGATCCAACTTAGGGCGAAGAGTTTTGGTGCTGGGATTTCTGTCTTGCAGGTGGGTACCCATTCTCTTAAATTTGTTAGGATTTTGTAAAAAAGAACTGTGCATAATATATATGTTTTATCTTCCATGTCCTATACCAGATTGGTTTGAGGAATAAAACATCTTTTATGAATCATGACAGACAGAATACTGTTGCATGGGTATTATTCATTTTACATATTGAAAGCAGTAGTCAAGCTGTGACTATACTTTTTAAAATCAAGGGAGAATGTAGTTGTGGGACTAACATTTGAAAAAAAAACTCTCTTACAGTGTGCAACTTGTTTTTGCAGGGCACTAGGACTGAAAAAAGTCTGGAAATAAAAACATGGTATGATCTTGCCCTTTTGTACTTAAGAATGTCTCAGTGGAAGGATGCAGAACTTTGCATATCCAAAATAAAAGCTATCAGTCCATATTCTCCCTTGGCTTGTCATGCTACAGGTGATTTCTCCATTTTATTGTAATTGTCCTGTGCTTAGGATCTTAGCATGAGGCTATATCTTGCTATTCTTAGTATCTATGAAAAATTTTATCATGCAGGAAAGCTAAATGAAGCCAAAGGTTTTATGAAGGAGGCTCTGCGAGCATACTCAACAGCGTTAGACCTCGATCCTAAACATGTACCGAGTTTGATATCAACTGCTACTGTTCTTCGACAGCTTTACGGGAAGCCCTTGCCTGCTGTTAGATGCTTCCTAACTGATGCGTTGCGACTAGACAGAACAAACGATGTTGCTTGGTTCAACCTTGGCTTAGTCTATGAAGACGAAGGTGACAGCACAGCGATTGAAGCTGCTGAATGTTTTAGGGCTGCTGCTCTTCTTGAAGAAAATGCCCCAGCAGAACCTTTCAGATGACATATATCAACTCTTTTGAGGGACACAAACTGTAACTAACCCTGAATCAGCCAACATGATTACAGGAATGGCTATGTTATAGGCAACCTTCACACAAAGGTTTCTACATTTTTGCAGTGCGATGGATGTGTTACAAAAATTATGGTCGATTACCTGATTCATTTTTTTTTTTAAAAAATGTGCAATGAGGAAGTGAGTTTGTACTGTGTATGTTAATTTTTAACAATAATGTTCTCAATCAGCTGTAGAGAAGAATGACAGGTTCATGTGAAGAAGGAAATCTAGAAAAAAAATTGGACCGACAAATAGCTGATCCTTTTCAAACCATATATGACTTCACATATCATACATAGCTATCCATGGGACCAACCGACAGCAACAATAAAAATTCATTAAAAGATTAAACTTCAGGTAGGGATGAATTTTAACACTCCCAATTTGCTATCAAACAATGAGACACTGTGTTTTGCACATCCAGACTTTATTTTGCAACAAATTAGATATACCTGTACAGTATATAACAAGGAACTTTATCTACTTGCTTCTTTGTCTTGATGCCAGCAAGAGAGAGAGACACACACACATCATGTAATTCAAACATAACAGAGTGCCATGATGTAAGAGAACAGAAAGAAAAGATCGAGCAGATTATGGCAGCCAAAATCTTGTAACGAGTGAGTCCATTCCATATCATCCATGCATCCACCCATCAAGTACATCTCAAAGAAAGCATGTATAGGAGAAACAAAACATGGAGCAGCTGAGTTTTAGAGTTTATATCCCTTCTCTCAGAGTTTCAGTTCTCTTGGCGGATAGAACCGCCATCAAGTCCGCCATGGCTTCCTAGCTGAGACTGCAAGTCAAAAGCAAAACTCAAAAGGCGCCCTCTCCTGCTCTCCTGCATCATCTCCTGGGCCTGGGTCCTGACTCTGTGGCCCCTCGTGGTCCTTGGCGAACTTCTTCACTTCAGCCTTCAGCCTGTCTAGGGTCTCAGGATCCATGGCCACGCTAAGCGTCGTCTCCTCCTCGCTGGATTCATCTACCGGCAGCTCGCTGTCTGTTATTTCCGGCAAGTCCTCCAGGACGACAGGTCCCAGCAGGTCCCAGTCGACTTCCACTTCCTCCTCCTCCCCGTATGTTTCTACTTCGCCTTGGAGTATTAACTTTTCTCGCAGCCTGTCGTATTCCGCTTGCAGCTGCTCAGCGTCGGAGCCGGCAAAAGGATCCATGCCAACAGCTTCAGAGAAGAAATGCTAGTCAGAGAGCGGTGACTGATGAATAAATATCAGAACCGAGGATACCAAACGATTGACACAGTAATCACAAAGAATAAAGTTAAATGCTGGCCTGTCGCTCTGTTTTTTACTCTGTTTATGACAAGAAAGTTAATTACTCTTATTTATTACTACTACTTGTATTGTGTACTTGATGGCCATGCAGTAATTGGACAGGAGCTATAGGCGGTAGTTCTGTTATTTCATGAGAATCTATCAACATGCGCAATTAATCAAATTTCTGACAGAAAATGACTCTGCTAGTGATCAACAAACAACTAAACGAAAATCTGTAAAAGGTTGGTAGCAGCATTCAGAGAAAATGGATCCATGATCATGGCACTGCTACTTAGACGTGACTTATATACAACAGTAAATATCGGAACATGGGGCACAAATTAACATAGAAACGGAGAGCAACAAAATACAAGTAACATGAAAATTACAATAAATAAAAGGTAAATGCAACTGGAGATTGTCTTGTTATTCTGGTATGACAAGAACAGTTAAATGTCACAGTATTGTGTATTTGCTGTCAACACGATAGTATCAATAGGACACATCCTATAGTAGATGGCAAATCTGATTTCCTGGGAAACTAATAGCATGCACAACCAAGTTACTGACATCAAAGGATACTGCTAGTGATCAACACAAATTGCCCTAACAAAAATCTGTAAAAGATTAGTCCAACGTTCATGAGCATGATTGTATCTCATCTAGTTTCCTCAAAAAAAATTATCTCTCATCTAAGATCTTTTTTTTTAAAAAAGATTGTCTCATCTAAATGAGACATGCAAGTTGTGCAGGCTTGTGCATAATGAATCACTACAAAATTGAGCTTACGCACCACATTGATGCTGACGAAAATGCATTTGAAGTCATCTGCACCTGATTTTGGTTATGAGAATAAAACCAATTAATTAGCTAGCTGACTATGTATCAAAATGAAACAGGTTCTCTGCATTTCCCTCTTACTGCTCTGCCTCCACATATATAACGTATCATTCAACTAATCAACAAATTTCGTAGTTCCTACTGCATTTTGTTTTTTTCTCTCTATATATATGGAAGTGGTTGCTCATTACAGGCCATGCGGTACTAGGAAGTGGAAGTAGTAGTACTACAAATAACACAAACACGGCATAATCGCAGACGATAGAGAGATCATGCTAAGTCGATCGGTGCACCCCAGATGATAGATACCTGTTATGCAGCACACAACGCAAGACGAAACTCTAGGTAGCAAGCTAGCGAATCAAACAGATTTTTGTGATATGTAGGTAAAGTTTACCTTGGGCAATCTTGAGCGGCAGAAACCAAGGGAGGACGTAGCGGCACGAGGGAGCCGCTGGCCACGGCGTCACCAGCTCGTAGGAATCTTCGATGAACTCCACGACTCTGCGCTCGGGCACGTTGACGCTGAAGAGGCGCTCCTCATCCTCCAGGGCGAAGTAAACTAGATTGCCGTCCGACGGACACACGACCACGAGCACGGGAACCTTGCGCGGCAGCCGGGTCGCCTTGTAGCTGTCGTCCTCCCAAATCTCTGCGAAGCTCATTGCGTACTTCATTTCCCACGCAATGGTCTCATCGTTGCCGTCGGCAGCGAGGATCCATGACCACATGGACACCGTTGCTGCTTCGCCCTCAGGGATGATGATCTCCACGTACCGCAGGCCGCCTTGGCTCTCGGTGATGCATCGGCGGTCGTGGATGTTCGGCGGGGCCTTGTCGAGAGCGCGGCCTTCGGGGAGGCGGTGAAAGCGCAGCGGAGGCTCTTCGAGGTCATGGAAGGGGTCGAAGCTGATGATTCCCCACGAGAGGTCGAACCACCAGAGGATCTTCTTGTAGGAGATCACACCGGAGGGGACCCACTCGCCGTCGCGGCTCGTGTCGTTCGGCAAGGGGTTTTGCGTGGTCTCCTGGTGCCACTTGTTGGAGCCTGCATGAAAGTAGACGAGCATGGCGCGCCTGCGGCCCTTGTGAACCATGAGCTCGGCAATGACGTAGGCTTTGCCGTGGCCGATGGAGACGAACCCGATGCTCTCGATGTTGGCGACGGCGGCATATTTGCCGTGGCGAGGGGGGATGCGCTCGGCGGTGGCCGTGGCCGGGTGGCCCTGCTCGACGCCAGAGCAGTCGAAGTGGCGCACCATGATGAGGTTGCTCTTGTAGGGGCGGTCAGCGAAGCACACGCCGTAGAAGGGCTCGACGCCGAAGTTGAAGAGGATGCAACCGGAGCCGACGCCGAGTACGTAGGGGTACATGTCGGGAGAGTCGCGGACGGGATGGGCGGTCGGGGCCGCGGTCATGACGGTGATCCGCGGCGGCAGCGCGACCGGGATGGAGAAGTCAGCCCTGTGCTCCACGCCCGCCTCGTCTTCCTCGACCTCCTCTTCCGAGTCAAGCTCCGCCTCGTCATCGTCAACCCCCTCCGCCTGCGCGTCCGCCGCGTCGGCCTCGACCTCCATTCCGGCGTCAAGCTCCGCCTTGTCAACCTCCTCCGCCTGCGCGTCTTCCTCGACCTCCGCTTCCGAGTCGTGCGCCGCGGCCTCCGCCTCGTCAATCCCCTCCGCCTGCGCGTCTTCCTCGACCTCCGCTTCCGCGTCGGCGTCGAGCTCCGCCTCCGCCTCGTCAACCCCCTCCGCCTGCACGTCGGCCTCGACCTCCGTCTCACCCTCTCCGTCAGCCGGCGCTTCGCCTGCGACAACGCGGGGGACACGGGCCAGGATCACCCACGGCCACGGCATGGTTGCTTCGGTTCGGGGGCTTTGGGTAGAGAGAGAGAGAGAGCGCGCGCGCCGGCGGATTGATGCGATTTGGTGGCGGACTCGCCGATTTGGGGGGGAAATGAAGGACAGGACGGTAATTGAAGCAGCGGGTGGTGGGACTTGCCGACTTATAGCTTGCAAAGAAAGATTACATCCATTCCAAGCCCAACATCGGACTTTCTGGGCTATAAGAGATGATGGCCCATGATGCGCTGCCGATTTTTTTTTGGCAAATTTAGGGAGCTTTATTAACAATTGAGTAATGTCATTACAATAGAGTGTCTTAACACAATCAGGAAAAAAAAGGCGTTGTGATCTACCTCTTGCTAGCTTCATGGATACTTCATGGCCAGCTACCCTCTTGCTAGCTTCATGGCCAGTTAGCCCAACAAAATCTTGATAATTGATTTCACCGAAATAACCAAATGTCCAGGCCTAGTTAGCATGGAGAGAAAAAGGCGTGAATTCATGGCGCATAGTGACGACAGGAGAGCTAAAAGGGAACACACTCCAGTCTCCTCTGCGTGAATAGAAAACGAATTTCCACTGCTCATTGCACCAGCTTTCCCTTTCATCTTGTCTCGAGGCATGTAGTCCCCTATCATGTTGATATCGAATGCTCCGTGTCCTTCAAATAATCCTCTCACTAACCTTCAAATTCGGTCTAGGTTTGTACGGACCTAACATTGGAGGCGAGAGAGCGCTGGTGCAATGCGAGTCATCTTTGTCGTAGTCAACAACCCATGCAAAACTGTTGTGTGCCAAATGATCTGAGTTACTTGTACATCCAAACGGTATATGGGTACATAATTATGTTTCGAGGAAAAAAAAAGATATAATTCAGATACAACAGAGCACCATGATGCAAGAGAACAGAGAGTAAAAAAAAATGAGATTATGGCAGCCAAAATCTTGCAATAAGTCCATTCCTTCCATCCATCCACACGGTCAGGCAGAAAGTACAGCTCAAGCATCCAAGTGAACAAGGTTTACGAGCGGAGCGTGTACAGGTATCGGGCCTGTTCACTGGTTGATGCTGGTGCTGGTTTAGACTGACTGGTGCTGGTTTTTTTGAGAGAAAAACACTGTTGACTGGCTGAAACCAACAAGCAAACAGGCTATCAAAAATATTAATACCGAAGTTAAGAAGGATGGTTAAAGACCACTTGTATCTCTATCCAGTATCTAATGTTCATCCAATATCTACTGTGGAACAACATTTCCCAATATTTCGTTCAACTAACGGTACCACTATCTGGACTGGAAACCATCCAAAGGCTCAAAACTACCAGTCTGAAGTCTCTATAAACTACTGGCACATAGGCAAAGCTTGTATCATAGCTCATCCGAGCAGCAAAAGCAGTCTCAAACGCAGAATCACCTTGGGTATTTCTGCAAGTAGAGATCGTATGGAGCATATCCAGCATGCACAGTTCTGTTCCCGAAGCGCCGTCCATGCAAGGAATGTGCGGCGATGCATGCAGCCTCCTTCCGCATGAACTCCACAAGCACAGAACCAGATTCAAACACGAAACCAGTGTCACTGGTCTCAACAGCTGGGACTTTTTCTGGACGATCTTCAGTCACATCATCAGCACCTCGTTCTTGTTGTTCAGAGTACCTTCCAGGTTTCGCCACTTTGTCTGTAGGTTCAGCAGGACTACAGGTCTCTGAGGTTCTTGGGTCTTGATGACTCTTTTCTACTGCATCATCGTCCACCTCCCCTACTCCTGTATGTTTATTCCCATCCACAGCTGCTTCAGTATGACCAGCTTCAGCATGTTGTGACGTGGGGAGAGCAGCTCTAGACTGAGTTTCATCAAGCTCTGTGTCCTCATCTGCTACAGGCGCTTTACTCTCACAAAGTGCTGCATTTGATGGGAAGTGTTTGTCCTTCTGATCTTGACTCTCTGGAATAAGATCTACATCTTTAGTTTCCAAAGCTTCAGAATGATTTAGAACATCTATGCTCTGATTGATCGGTACAGAATATTCTGATACAGCCTTTGCAATGTTTTCAGTATCAGCAAATTCAGTGCATTCAATCTTGAGCTCAACTATGTTATCCTCTGCAGCACTACCACCACCAGCAGGATACTCAACTACATTTACAGATTTGACTGCTCCAAACCTGTGAATCTTGTCCACAGTGTAAGTTGAAATCCACCAAAATCAATAACACAAAAAATGTAAAAGAATTGTACACACCTCGTACATTCAACACGTACATCTTCCAAAGTTTCTTCCAGCTCAGATTTTGAAAGTAGCATATACTCTTCTCGTTCAAACTACATATGTTGCACAGTTATTTTACAAACCTCAAATATGTGAAAACAAGTGATAGGTTGAATTTTTTGCTCAATGGTATGCATTAGTGTGGTTCAAGATTGCTGCAACATTTATCTATTAATTTGAACTCATGAGATCTAAAAACAACCAACAATACTTAGGAAACATATGAAGCCATAAATTGTTTTGATTTGGAGAGCATTGTTGATTTAACTAGAAACTTGAAGTGATAAGAGATAAAACTACAACATACCACATTTTTTAGCTGCAGGACCTTTGTTGGTTTTTTCAGAAGCGATTTGGCGTTGTCAGGAATACCATAAAATGGGAAAGCCTCATTAGCAGCCTGAAAATTCAACTAGAACTTGGATAAAAATTCAACTAGAACACCATGCTATTTCAAATGATGGAATATATACAGGCCAGCAAATGAATAGGTCAAAGTGGTTATACCTCCACAGGAGGATTAGGAAACACATGCACAGCAGTCAGTACACATCCACCAAGCATCATCCCATTGAGGCCAGCACATGCCTTAGAAGTAATGGAGCGATCGGCATACTGTCCATATCAAATTGATCAGAAGTGACTATGATGATCATATACTCTAGCAAATGCACACAGCACTCATACCTCAAGAAATGCACAGGGTCCACCGAGCTCACTGTTAAAAACAAAGTGGTACGCAGCCAACGGGCCAAATGCACTAACAATCTCCATTAGCTAAAAGAGAGGGGAATGCAGTTACTTGTCAGGAACATAAGCTATAATATCCTCACAAAGAACAAAAAAAAATTACTCAATATATAAAAGCACAGATACTGATGGCCTATCATATTACCATCTCAGATGAGATCACTCCAGCAATCCCCGCTATGAAAATCTGTAAAATTCAAAGGTGAATCAGAAAACATATACATTATTTTAAAAAATAAGCAGTCAAATATTCTTATGCTTAACTATTCTGAATCAGTTAACTCTTTTTTCCACAAAAAGATGCGAGATGGCTTTCACTGAATACACAACATTGTCCCTAAGTGAAAATAGCGGTTGAAGGAATTCTGACACGACATCAGAGTAACTTCATAGCTGTCAACAACCAACCCTACTTCAACTGAAAATAGCGATTGAAGAAATTCTGACACGACATCAGAGTATAGCTGTCAAGAGCCAATTCTACTTCAACTGAGTTCTCACAGAACAACCAAGAAACTACAACAGGCAGGAAACCAAGAATGTCTGGAAATTTGAGACAGCTCTCTTTGAAAAAATCTAACAAGCTGAAACCAATTATATATGTTACCTTGTGTGGTGAATCTGCAACAACGTCAGATATTAAAGCAGTCTCTTCAGCAGGCTTCTTAGGGGTTACATTCTGCAAGGAAAAAAATATATGAAGTAACATTTAAAATAAAATATCTAAAAAATCTGAATGGCCTTGCATTTAAAATGTAGATCTCCAATAAAAAACAATGTCGTAACACTCTAAATATAATACAGAAAAATCAAAGGGGTTTACATTCTGCATGGAAAAAATTATGAACTAACATTTAAAATAAAATATCTAAAAATTTGAATGTCACCACGGAGATCTCCAAAAAAACAGTGCTGTAACAGTCTAAATATAATACAGAAAAATCAACGTGGTTCCTTCTGCTGTGGACTATCCCAGATATTATGGACAGCTAATTGTGATGGAAAATAATCATTGTGGATTATTGTTATGTGCAGAGGAAAGCCTGGTCCTTGAGGTGCCATGTCACATATTTGCATGATCCTATTGTTCAGCTATTCATGTTGGTGTAGTGATACAGCACAAAAACAAGGCAATCTAGCCAAGCACACCAAGCTGAACCAGACTAATAACCTATCTACTTCTATCTAACTGGTATTTTTCTGTGATATATATTCCGTTATTGGTTATGGGTGGAACGACTAACCATATCTGCCTATAAATGTAAAGGAACTAATCGTGTCTTTTAGAAGTAAATAGACCAAGTTGAGGCCAGAGATAAAAATAGAGGAACTAAGATGTAAGGCAATATCCATGAAATAAGCTGAACAGGAAAATGTTAGAAATTGAACACAAACAAGAGAAAAGTAAATTCAAAGTTTGTTAAACTAAATGCAGAATAACTTTGAAGTTGTCAATGTCTAAATGACAGCCCTTGCTGCCAAATTGCACTCGGCTGTAGATATTTACAGAATTAAGGTTAGCACCTAGCAACCATCATACTCAAATCTTTTACATTTATTTACTTGAACCATGCTGTACAAGCTGTCTTCCTAATGTTTCCATGAACTGGGCACCATAAGGACCCTCTGCCTGTCTGCAGTATTGTAATCAGCCAATGAATTCTGAAGTAGCAGCAGTCACATATGCACTACACCAGGAAGCCTGCTTTACAATTCCTTTGCTTCACGAAGCTGCTGAACGTGAATTATGACACACCCAATTAAAATACCCTATTTGAGAGATTTCAATATGACCGTCAGACAGGAACTTGTCGAATGAAAGAAATATATGCCATTAACAAATCCAAAACAGCAACTCTATTACATTTTGCACCATGAATAAATCTAAATATAGCTAATTTTAACTCATAGAAGATACAATGGAGTGTACATATTTCAAGGTTCACCATGCAAAAAAAAAAATGAAGGTACCAATTGCTAACAATCAATTCCAGGATTCTCACTGCATCGCCAAGAGTTAAACATGGCATATTTTATGCAAATATGCAAACTTCATACTGCACCCATAATCATTAAATGAACTAAAACTTGTGGAAATAAATAGATAATGTTATTTTCACTATGATTATCATTACTGGGCCATTAGGATGCAATACAGGTCAGGTAATAAAAGGAACCGATGGAGAAATCTTTCCATTTCTTATAAGTACAAACAACAGTTAAAGATAATCAACCAAGTAATATTATGCCAGTCTTACAACTAATATTATGCCAATCATTATTGCTAAACAGACATTCCTTTCAGAAGAGGAAGATATCTTTTGCAGCAAAACAAGTTGAATATATGCAGGAAACAGAAAGGTTTGATGATCTCGTTCTCACTTAACCGAATATAAACCAGAGGCGCATAACCATTATTAGTAGTATACTAAAATAACAAAACATTCAGCTTCACAAATGACAAATAAAAAATTCAAATATTTAGAAGAACTACATGTACAAGTCAATGACATGTCCACAGCAAAGAAAGACACGAGTCAGAAAATTGATACACCGGGACCAACTCGTAGCGCTGCTGTAGCCACGCAAGTTTGCGGGCTGCTGGTCGGGAGTTAGACTCCCGGTTCGTACCTAAATAAAGGCTCCACAGGGGCAACCCAAAAGTACGGGTGGGCTTCAACCTGGTGTTGCCTAGCTGCCCCTTGCGCCAGCCCAGTGCCTGACCGACTATGGTGCCAGCCCAAGCCACGACGCATTGTACGGGTAAAGCTAGGGTTCAGGGCATTTTCTTGACCAGCATGGTTGAGGTCGTACCTACATGCAATACCCCGGAAAGCTTTCCATGGCTGGTCGAGTGTTTTTTTAAGAAAAAATGATAGACCAACAAGGCCATGCCAGATCAGTTACAGGATATCTTAATTCAAACCTAGATCAAAACATCAATTTCAAAATGACTAGGTCACCCAATACACAGAAAAGAACTACATGATCCAAATTAGGTGGCAATTCTGTACCAAAATATTATTTAAATAAAAGCTTTTACAGAGACGAACAGCAATAGTTCTTTTGTAAAACAACATTGCCACCTAATTTATTTATTAACAATAGTTCTTTTAGTAATTGTTACATTCTCAAAATAGAATGGGAAAATAATGAGGTTGTTTCGGCAATAAGCCAAGAACCAAAGCGCGAAATTCGAAGGTCATTAACATACATCAATGAAGAAAAACTAAAATGTATATAATTGCAACAACATTGATGTGGAAGGATGGAAATCTTACCACCGTTTCAACATATTCTTTGGGGCGTCGAATTCTCAAAGCAGATCCGTTTAGAGACCTTCCATCAAAAGAAAGAGCTGCTGTAGCATCCTCTGGTGTAAGAAATTCCACAAATGCCTGACGTTTTTCTCTGTTTATCTGCATCGAACCAAAGAGGATATCAATATATATTAATAAAAAAATGTGATATGGTGCGAACAAAAGGTGGAATTCAAGTTTGCTCACCGTGCAACTGAGGCATGGTTTAGACCGCTGGGGTTTAATGCCAGTAGGCAATAAGAAGTCATTCAAGCAGTCAATCAACTTATCCTCCGTAGCTGAATCAGGCAAATTTTCAATGTGCAACCTCCTGAGTGGGCGTGTTGCTTGTGTAAGCTGGACAGAATCTGCAGTCAAACTATTACCCGCCAACATGGTCTCAACTGTAGTTGAAGGGTCCTTCTTTATCGCGCTGAAACTGAATGGAGTAGGAGCCATCTGGCCAACAGTTGGCAGGAAAGTGGTAGGGAAGTTAGATTGGTTTGCTTTAACAGGAGGCTGATCCCATGTGGCTGATTTCTTTTCTGGGGACTGAATGACCTTGGAAGGAGTCTTGGTAGTTGCCTGCTCAGCTTGCAGTGATGTTTTCTTTTTCCTTGGTGAGTATCCACCAAGACGGCTTTCATATTTCTGGTGCGACCCACCAATGTATCCTCCACTCCCAGACGATCTTTGTTTATCAACTTCAGCATACTTCCTCCTTGATTTCTCCATAGAGTAGTATGGAGGATAATTGCCAAAATCACGTCCATGGTAATTATACCTTTCTTCCCTTAGTGGTGGTGAGATAGACCTGCCGTATCTTTCTCGATTATGATCCCTGCTTCTGGACCTTCTCCTTTTAAACCCTGGTTCTTCATGGTATGGTTTTGCATACTCATTCCTTCCAGCATTTCTATCAGAATGCTTGGAATCTTGGAACCGTGCAGAATCCTGTTTCTTCAACATTGGTCGATCTACCTCTGACCTCCTCTCATTATCAAAGCTACGGTCTTTTCTCTTTGTCTCATTTCGAAGCTTCTCACTCTTAAACTTTATTTTATCATCACCAACAGCTTCATCATTCCATCTTTTTCCAGGTTCCTTTTGATACTCAGATCTCATTACATCACCCTTTCTTTCTCTGATCTCACTAAGATTTCTATCTTTGCTTTCATCAGCCCGACCACTCATGTTTGTGACAAGTTTCTGAGAATGATGAATGCCTTTGTCTTTCCTAACTGAATGATTATCGTCTCCTGAGGGCCTCTGTTTCTTGGAAGCCTTCTTTGGTGCATCTCCCAGGCCTTCCTTCTCCAGGACCTTTGGTGCATCTTTCAGGTCATCCATCTTCGCACCAGTGTTTGGCCTATCTCTAGAGTTGTCCTTCTTGGATACCTCCTTTGGTGCATATCTCATGTCCTCCTTTTTTGGATTTTCCCTTGGTATATGTCTTGGATTTTCTTTCTTGGAGCCCTCCCTTGTTGCATCTCTACTGTTCTCCTTTCTTGAACCCTCCACAGGCATATCTCTGGGATCCTTTCTGCTTTTGTGTTCTCTTCCTTGTTCCAAGTGAGTAGATTTGCCCTTACCATTTTCTAGCCCTTCCTTGGCTTTCTTAGATTCTGATGCAGCCTTCTTTTCACGCCACAGCATAATGTCCTTAATGCTTAGAGGTCTTGTGCGGGCAGCTGTCCCTTCACTAGTGATTCTCTCGGAGTCATTTTCACCATGTATTTTTCTACTCATCTTGATCCTTGACCCAGAATTTTTTGTCAAAAACAACGATATCTTATCTAACCTAGCCTACTCAAAGAGTCTAACAGATAACAGCACTAGACACCATGTGGCTTCCTGCAAAGAATAAAAACAGAGGCATGAAAACATTGCAACATACATTTCACCATAGGCAAGCTGATGCGATGTAATTTCATCAGAATCACAAAACCCTAATAGAAGCAGCTAGTTCCAAATAATGTGAAGGAACTGATCCTAGATCAGTTGGTTGTGGGTGTGGAAGTATGCCCAGACCGCCCAAATTCAAGTCCTCATCGAGGAGAATTTGGGTGCCTAACTCTTCTTAATTAAAAAGCCACCTAGTTCCTCATAGGTTGGTTGAGTTTTTTTAATTCCAAAGAATGTGCCATATATTTGGTTTTGACCAAGCATGAGGAACCTGGCTAATCACATGCCTCCAGAAACTGGAAGTCATGGAGAATGGGACACCTCAGTATTACTTACCTAATCCTTGCTGCACTGGACTTGGAAATGTGAATGGTAAGACAGTTTCATTTTAGTAGATAGTCCAGAAATTGAGTATAATAGCACAGCACTAAAGAACCCCATCCAATCCAGGGGTGGACCGAGTACAGGACATGGGTGTACACATGTACACCTGATAATTTTTGCAAAATCATGAAATTAATATGTATCGCAGTGGCGGAGCTGGTGAAAATCTCACATAAGCGCCTAACAACCCGTATTATGCCAACATACCCATAGTTCATAGAAGCAAGGATAAAATGCATAATTTAGAAGATATCCCAATTCCATGCTTTATTATACAAGAAATTTGATAAAAATAAGGCTAGCAGGACCAGGATAAGAAGTAACATTCATGTCATCTAGGTTGGAACTAAGACATAACCAGATACAGTATCTATGCAGTAGCTGGAACGCTGAGTAAATTGGATAACAGAATATAGATTATCATAGATTGCTACGGATTTCTAAGTGTAAGCAGAAATTATCACATATGTCATCTGAAGTTTACAGAAAATAGGAAAGTAGGTAAGGACATTAGCTCAGGGGAATTGAAAACTTTTGCAGCTACATAACAACTGATCAAAAGGGTCACTCATGCACATATTGTGCACAAATGAGAACTTGTGCCTCTTAAGAAACTCTGTTCGCCTGCTGCAGTTTGCACCTTGCTTACAAACAATTGATGAATGAACAATGGAGGATTCGAAATTTCGAACAACCTGCTGTAGCTGAGTGTTGTCTGCCTCTGCTCCTCTGCACTTATACAGAACTGCGCAGAAGCAGGAGGCGCCGAGCGGCCGAGCGTTCGTGTGCACTGCGCCCAGGCCGCAGGCCGCGACCCTACCGCCGCGTGTGCCTGCGTCGCACTGTGCAGGAGCGACTGCCAGCTAGCCACACCGTCGCAGGCTCGCAGCACCGCCCTCCTCTCGCCTGCCTCCTGAATTTGGTAGCACCCGTGCGCAGTGAAGATGCTGGCCGCGCCGCCTCCCAACTCCTTCCTCGATTTGGCTGCACCGCTGGTCGCACCACTGGCCCCCCGCGACTAGGGTTAGCTTCGCACGCCGCGGTGACGCAAGCGATGAGAATATGAGATGCACGCCGCTCGCGAGGGGAGGACGTCACGCGAGGAGATGCGAGAGAGGCAGCCAGTGGGGTGTGAAGTTCTACTTTTTCCCAGGCCGGCGACTGGGCCACTTTGGGTTGGGCACTTGGGCCGGAAAACAGCGTGGTACTCACGTTTTGGATTAAGTCCATTTGCTCCGACTTTAACGAAGTCCGATTTACCTCTCTTAAACCACTTCAAAACTTCTATAAAAAAACACCTAAAAAAACTCTCTTAAACCAAAAATAATATTTTTTTAATCTTCTCTCACTTTTTGAAACCGTGCAAATTTCCTCACTAAGCAATTTTAAAGATGTGAAATGGTGCCACATCAACTATAAGGGACGTAAATCAGACTCCCAGGATGGTCAATTCGACTTCAATTTAAAAAGTATAGAAATATTTTTTAAAATGTACAAATGTTTTTAAGATATGCAATCAAAAGTCCAAAAATATGATTTAGTCTTAGAAATTTCGTAGAATTTTTTTTTTGCTCTCAAAAATATGAAACCAATTTTATATATTTTTTCTAGAAACATGCTCAATATTATGATGTCAAATTATTTGAATCTTGTATGGTCTCTTTCTGGTGTTTATTTATTTTTCTATAAACAATGCTTAATGCAGATGCTCTTGTTATCTATTATAATCAGCCAACGCTAACAACACGGAACACATATAAGTTCAACTGACTTCGCATCATTCATTGTGTAATTGTGTCAATTTTAGCAACATATCATGTGCAAACTAACCAATCTATGTAAACTTAGAAACTACCAATCAGGATCACTGGATGTTGATCCAATGGATAGAGTGAAGGGGCTTAAGCGCAAAAAAAAGGATGGCGGGTGGGGGGCTTAAGCGCAAAAAAATCCCACCTCTCATCCTATTCATTGGATCAGTATCTAGTGGTTCTGATTGGCAGTTTTCAAGTTTGCACAGGTTAGTTGGTTTACACCTAATACGTTACCGTCAATTTTATGCTAATAATTCAAATCTCATCGAATATAACTTATTTGCATGTCTCTCGACAAGAAATAGAAATAAAGATGTTTCTTTGTGATATTGTACTCCCTCCGTTCCAAACTATATGTCGTTTTGATTCTTTTGTACATTTATTTTACTATGCATCTAAATAAATAATATGTCTAGATACATAGCAAAATGGATGAAAAAAAGTCAAAATGACTTATAATTTAGAACGGAGGGAGTAGTATTTAGCAGGTGGAGCCCTCCTGAGTCATCATAGAATAGTTCCAATAATAGATAAAATGAGAACATTTACTAGAAAAATAAACACCAAGATGAGACAATACAATATTCAAATAATTCCAAACTTTTCTAAGATTAGATCATTTTTTAGGATTTCTAATTGTAAATGGTTTTACATTTTTTAACTAAAACATTTTTTCTAAGATTAGATTAGATTTTAGGATTTCTAATTGCATACTTTTCCAGATAAAAAAATATTGTTGTTTTAAAAAATTAAGTTATTTTAATAAAGTGTAATTGGCCTCCCTAAACTATGAATATAATTCAATTTACCTATGCATGGCGTTGTCGGCCAAGACATCCCTAGGAACCAATTTGGAAAGTCTAAAAAGTTTGAGAAAGCCTAGAAACTAGTTTTCCAACTTAGGGGGGTAAATCTAACTTCAACAAAAGTTGAAGGAGGTCAAATAGACTTTTGCCTCACAGTTTTACCCCACCTCTATCCATGATCTTAGTGTCCCTAGACCCATATCTGCCCCTAGAATGTATCTCATATATATACTTGTAGTTGTGTCTGGTCTTAATAGAAACCATTTGTGTTAGGGTTTGGGGTGCTCACGATTTAACACTACAACAAAGGGAAGAGAAAGACCAAGCAGTGCTCACCCACTCATCAATAAGGAGGGGGAGAGAGAGGTGAACCATGAATGTCCATACAGTACGGTGGAAAGGACAAAGGATAGAGAGGACTAGATCCTATAGAGCGGTGAAGCTAGGTTGTCTAGAAGGAACATAAAACACATAAAAAATATTGTTTTGAAATTTGAACTATCATCCTACCCCCAAGTAATGGATACAACGTAAGAGCATCTCTAAGAGAGTTGGGATCCAACTTGCTATTTTGATTTTTAGCTAACATGCAAGAAATCTGGCCTCCAACAAACTAGCTAACGCCATTGCTATTCCATTTGACGCGCTATCCCGTGAGGGTCAAAAGCCAAATTGGGTTGGCCGGTGTGCCTTACTATATCAGCGTATGTGACACTGACAGCTAGTACCATGTTTATGTTGCTCCAAAATTCCATTCCTTTCTCCTCCTTTCATAGAATATGGAGTGTGAGATATGGCTAGTCTGTTGGAGTGTGTTGAATTATATAGAGAGAATTTTTATGGAGTGGCTAGCCAAATGAAGATATGGAGTGTGGAATTTAGAAATTCTCTTGGAGATGCTCTAAAGTTGAATGTCCTACAACTAATTTTAGAATGCATCTGACTTCTCAATGAAACATGATTAGTTTCTTGGCAGTGGTCACATGAATCCTGGACTAGAGTTTTCTTCCTTGGAGTGATTGAACCATTGCTAGTTAAAAGATGACGTCCTGGAATTGAACTACAAAAACCCTTAGGGATGAAGTGTGCCATCTCGATTTGTAAAAGGAGATATATCACATCAAACCTCCCCTTCCCTAAAAAAACATCAAACCTCCCCGTGATAACCCTAAGAATTGGGTGATGAAGCTACATTGAAAAAAGTTACTTATAAGCAAACAAATTTGCTATAACATACGACATTACAACCTAGTTCACGCGAGGATTGTGGTGGGTGTCAACATTTTATCATGCCTCAATGGACTACATCGAGGCATGCAACCAGGCAACACTCGGTGCGCACGGCTAGTCAGCTAGATTTGAGTCGGTTACCCTCATTCTCGATGTGCGCATGGTTAGTCGGCTAGATTTGAGTCGGTTACCCTCATTCTCGATCAACTGAACTGTTCCCTTGCTTTTCGCAGCTTTTCTTGTAGACCCGTGTTGTTTTGAGTGCAAGTGGTTTGCTCATCCGTTTCCATCCAAACCACGGGCCATTTCTTTTAGAGCACTATTATTTGCTTCCTCCAATTTACTAGAATTACTATAGTAGTGTTTGATGTACTGCCAACTATTTCAATTGCTACTACCGAGTGCAATCTTTAGCATTCCTTTGAGGTTTCGACTCAAAAGTGAGTGCAATTAAATCCTGCTAAAAAAGAGATACTGAGTACAATTAATAGGATTGCTTAAGCTAGGATGGTTCTATTTGAGAAATGGAGCGAGTAAGATGCACTATTGATGTGGTATTTTATTTATTTATTATTGTATTTTTAAATAAAAGTTTTTTTTTAAAAAATCG